TAATAATGATTTTTTTTGTTGTTTTTTTTATAGCATATACACCCCTTAACAGCAAGTTCTAGGCTTTACACAATTTACACCATTACACCAGCAGACCCTAGAACACTCAGAAGCATTGTCGGCTTCAAGAAAAGGCATACAGTGCAAGCAGCTGATTAGGCGATCAAACACTAACAAACTGACAAGATCATTCACCATCTATAGCCAAGTACCCATTCCCAATTGGGTGAAGTGAGGAACATTCGCGTAGAGTGTCTTTCTCTCGGACACACTCTAGCCTACGACGGGATTCGACCAACAACCGTACAGTTGAAAGTCCGAGAACCTAACCACTAGACCACCGACGCCACTAAATAAACCCACAATTGTTCCAACTCGTCACTACTCCAGAATTACCAAGCTCTAGATCTATATCCGCTCAATGGCGTCGAAAGTTATGAATTTCACAAGTCAAACTTCTTCGAACGCAGTTCTTTGAATATCTTGATAATAACTCCGAATAATTGTTCAATTTAGATAGAGCAGATAGAACATTTGGTTTCTGATCTCATGGTCTTAGTAACTCAAAACGGCCAAAAATGTCAGATAGAACTTGTCCAATCTAAGGCAGCGATGTGTGGAAGATAAGAGGTTTTACAAGTGAGCGATATAAAAAGAAAAGGAGGAGAGATAAAAACGATAGATATTTGATGGGAGAGAAGGAGCAAACCACACTATTAAAGCACCCACCAACCACCCACAAAAATTTCAACAAACAGACAGTAGATATACTCAGTATGAAAAAAATCACAGTGCGTTTGTCTGACCTTGAAAGGTCAAAGGTGAAGGTCCTTGAGACCTGGTACAGGTCCCGATAGTAGTGCTTTTCCTCGATGACCACAGTAGCGAGGGACTGGGAGGCCGGTTGGTGTAGGGGTAGGGGCGTAGCACACGCCGAGACGCTCAGTTCAGACCCCGCCAGTAGGTAGAAGGTGCGGTTAGGACTTGGTGAGAACTTGTCTACCTATGTGTGTGTGTGTGTGTGTGTGAGGGGGGGGGGTGACGGGTAGAAAATACAGACATATAACTTCCAGATATACATGTGTCATTATTTGTTTGGTCAAAGATTTGGGGAAATGCGGATTTATTGTTTCCAGGTACTTGTTGTTTGGTCATCAGCTGGAGGAAAAGGGGAGATATTTATAACTTACGAGTTCATTTTTTAAAATCATAAAGTCAATATGTAGAGAAAATCCGGATCTTCAACTTGTGGGCCTGTGTTAAATCAATGTGAACAGGAAATATGGATCAGTATTTCCTGGATATTTTGGTAGTTCAGTAAACATGTAGAGGCTATTCAGATTTACAACTTCAGGGTGTATTTGCTGTATTCAGCTGTCTTACTTCTTTTACAAACACACACGTGTTATTACAATTTTTGAGGCCGATTGGCGGGTGCTCTGGTGTTGTGTGTTCCTTTTCTCCTATCCAACATCTATCATCCTTAAAAATCTGTTCTCCTTCTTTTCTGTCTGTCTTATTCTCTTAGGCTCTTTTATGACCTATTTGAGTAGCAAGTGAAGTAAAACTTGTACTAATACTAATCTTGAACACTTTTCCCCCTGTCTCTCAGCCTCGATAACACCTCAAATAAACCAATCGCTACCTCAGAATTACAAAGTTCTATCTGACTTTTTTAAAAATCGTTTTGAGTTACTAAGACCATGAGGTCAGAAAACAAAGTATGTTCTATCTGCTCTACCAAAATAAAAGAAAAAAACATATATTTGAAGTCGTTATCAAGATAACCAAAGAATTGCATTTGGAAAAGAATTGACATGTTGTGAAACTCAAACATTTTGACCAATTTCTCAAAACTAGGTACTGAGTAGATAGAACTTGGTAATTCTGGGGTAGTGGTAGTGCAGTATCATTTAATAATATAACCTTGACTGGGATCTGAACCTGTGTCATGTAACACCCACCACACACACACCACACACACACACACACACACACACAAACACATACACACACACACCACACACCACACACACACACAAACACACACACACACATAAACACACACACACACACTCCACACCACACGCACAC